ATATATAGAAATTGGTGATTGGTGATTGCCGGCGAAGTATAACTGCAAACCATAATCGTATGGCTATATAACCATATACCACGCTCACGGTCAATAGGCGTATAGCTTCGAAACTCTGCCAGATATGTACACACAGAAAGTCAGATCACTATTACATACGCGATCCTGGTACCTTTGGCCCGACAGCCTGTGCATATAGTACTTGGGCCTCACCAGTTACACACGGACAAGTGTGTTAAAGTAGAACTACAGACCACTCCAGTACGTCTGGTAACGATGGAGTGGTGTACGTCAATGTACGCCTCAGGGTAGAGCGACAATAAGGGACGTCAAAGGTGCGTGTAGGGGTTTATCCCGGCGTGCAGTACTAGTCTTAGGTGTAGCAGGTGGAATATACCGGCGAAGCTCTTCGATTAAACAATGATCCAGGAGTCCTCTTAGGTTTAATCTATTTTTTTGTATATTTTAAATCTCAATAGATTGTATAAGGTCCGAGGTTGTTTTCAGTTTTCAGTTCTGTGTTTACTAATGATTGATGGCTACTAAGATTGTACTGAATCCATGCTCAGACAACTTCTGTTTTCTGATACTCTACCGGGCTTGACTGTTACATGGTGTGGTACGCTTGTGGTTGTAGCGTACACCGTTTGAAGCACATATACAGTGCCATGGCTGGTCCCATCTACAGTATGCGTGGCAGCCAAACGTGACCCACTTACGCCTGCCCAGCCAAACGTATCCCACTTACACCTGCCTAGTTTCTTCACACCGCTCGAAGCTGATTGGCTTCTCTCTCGTGGCGCGGCTACAGATCACTATCGGTAGTAAAAACATCAGCAACTCCCCTTGATGTAGGGACACCCTGTAGGTAGCATTAAGCATCCGCATCTTCCCTTGGCCTAGGTACACCCCCAAATACGTCGGATGATGCCCCCCCCTTGTAATAGAATGCACAGCTATGGATGTGATGCCGTACGTCTACAGATCTGGTCCCACTCTCACTCCCACTCTCACTCCCACTCACACTCTCTCTCGTCGCCCGAATTCTGACCCACAAACTGGGCTGAGTGGCTACCTACCCTTGAGCGTACACATCCTTTCAGTCGCACCACCCCACATACCCGCATCCACCCCGTACCACTACGGACATTGCCTGGGTACTCGAATACTGTGCTGTATGTTGGTGCCAGACAGGTGAGCTTATATGAAGTGGCCCAGCTACAAACGGTTCCTCCGGATCCTACTACTACAGGTAACGGCCCAGCTGCATCACGCCCTCCCCCACCCCGAGTACGGTACTAGACATTGGCCTAGAACGCAGATAGTTCGGGACAATTGACCTGGGACTCTACACCTCCACGGCGGCCCTGGCTGAGCTATACACTGACCTAGAACGCAGACGGTTCGGTACATTTGTCCTAGGACTCCATTGGGACCACCTCAACGGCAGCCCTGGCTGTGTGTCGTCGTGTGTGTGCATGTAACAGCACCTCTCGTCCGGCTGAGGACAGGGCTCTGTGTGCACTCTCCTGCTTCAGCTCGTACAGTGAGGCAAAGTTAACCATGTCGTACGGGCCGCGAAGCTCGAGCACATGTTCCGCTTCTCCGCTGATGAGGAGGTTCTTGCCTGTTGTGTGAGAGATAGGGCATACGCAAACGGAAGACAGGGCAACCGTGGTTGAGGCTAATGCACTGCTTGTGATTGGTTTGTACCGGTCCGTGGTATGTGATGACTGAGAGAGCATATGTTTTGAGGGGTAGTGACAACGGAGATTGAAAGTGTAGGTATAGAGTCGCACAGGTGCACTGCTCCCGAAATTCTGCAGATAAGTACTACGATGGGCAGATCGGTATTGCAATGTACAGATAAGTATTATAATGGAGCAAGTGTGTGAAGTCGAGAGACCCTGTGTGTGTATTCGAGGACAGTCCAGTATTAAGCCATCGATGCTGCATGGTATGTAATCAGAACAGCAGAAAATGTAATCGGATCACAGCACAAAACGTAATTCGATCAGCCGAAAACGTAATCCGGTCAGCCGAAAACGTAATCCGGTCAGCCGAAAACGGACTCCGACCAGTCGAAAACATACCATCAGATCACTAGTACTACCCAGCGCACTTCTGACAGACTGTATCACAAGACATGCAGGGCCACAACATAAATTACAACGCACCTCACACACACACCTTTGGTGACACGGACAACATTGATGGCATTTCCTATCATGATCCGCCTAGTGTTAGTGTCCCGAATGCTGGGCCCATAACTGAGTTCCAGGTACACCCCGTTGGTCCTGAGTTTGGCTATTTCGGGGGGCTTGGGCATGAATGTGGTCTGGTGGGAGGGCCGCATTCATGAGTGTGGGAAATTTTTCACTGCTACATCAGCACGAACTATTATATTACGTTGTAATAGGCGCACTGGATTGGATCTCTGATGCAAACTATTCTTAGCAACCAAATGCGTATGACAAAATCACGGAAAGTGTACAATCACGGTATGTGGTCTATGTACTATGATAGATTGAAACCAACATATACTGGAATCAGTGAAGGCACGTATTGATCCATTTCATTCATAGCTATATATATACATATATATACATATTCATATACCTATACCTATACATATAC